GAGAGAGAGAGAGATTGTTGTAGTTGTTGGGTTACAAGGAGTGCAATAGCACATGAGTCTTGAGGCATATGTTGTTAGTTGAGTAATCACCTCACCTCTCCATTACATTTCATGGACCACACTCAACTGACCCACAAGGATGAGAGGCTTGCTTGAGCTTTTTCCTATATTCTTTCAACTAAAGCAAGTGGTTTGGCTTTGAAATAATGGGACATAAAATAAAGCCTCATGGGATGTTGCCAAACTGCCTTGGCATACACACATAGCTTTGAATAGTGGCCCCCAACAATCTCTCGGTCCACAACACATGGTTTTGTTAAGATTGGGTTGAATAATTATGACCCCAATTTGCCAATGAAATAGAAACAAACATATTTCATGTGCCAATGCACTCCTTGCAACCAGCAAGTACCATCACATTTGTTTTTATTGTCTCTCTCATTAATCTTCTTTCTCTAGTAATCTTCTCTCTTCTCCTCGTAATATTCAAAGTTCAATCTCCCCTTCATTTCGCCATCAACTAGTCTTCTCTCATCTCCTCCCTGTATTTAAAGTTTAGTTTGTCTAAACTCTTTACTCAAAAACACGATGAACTCAAAGAGGATCATGGAGAACGCTCGCAAATGGAAGAAGCAAGCCATGAGACAAAGGGTGAGAATCTCCCTCAAAACCACTACTTCTGAAAAAGTTGGATTTAGTCGCCGATGAGGGTCACTTTGTCATTTACACAATAGATGGAAGGCGCTTCATGATTCTTTTGGCTTATCTTAACTGCCCCATCTTTAGAGATTTACTCTTGATGGCTGAAGAAGAGTTCGGTTTCACTGGATGCGGTCCTCTAAGAGCATCTTGTGAGGCATTTGTAATGGAGTACATAGTCTCCCTATTGAGCAAGAATGCATCAAAAGAGTTGGAGATAGCATTAGCTTCCATGGCCTCTTGTAGAGACTCTCTTGCTTCACCTGCCCTACATCAAACTACCGCAGCAAATATGATTCAACGTGGATTTTAAGTTCACTGGTTGGAAGTTTGGCATCTGGGATTTATTTAGGAGGCGGAACCAAGCCATTGTTTGTACTTTGTACAAAGAATATACAATTTTGTTTAGATGTAACAAATTTATACATGAAATTTTATCCTTCCTTTAGCTTCTTCATCAACAATTTATCTATACATTTTCTGCTAAATCAAGTCGTAAAATGGTTCCTCTGAAGGTCCGGCCTCTTTCGTTGTGATTAGGGCATGAAGGCCATAGGACATTATCCAATGCTTGAATCTAGTTAAAATAAATTGCACTTCCAAGAAAAGATACTCCCTCATGTAAAACCCCACTAAGAATTTATTTTAGGACCCAGATTTTGGGATATAACCACGTCAACCCACAAAAAAAAAAACGTTTCTAATTTTACCCAATATGCACTTGACTCAAGATAATGTCTCGAGGTTGAATAGAGACCGTCCAATTTTTAGAAGATAAGACCTAACCATTAAAAAAAACTCAAATTTCATATTCCTTTTTGTGAGCATAATCATCTAGTAATAAGTGGTTCCCAAAAATTTAAATTGAAAAAATCCTCCAAAGTAGGTCAGACCACATCCCCTACAAGTTCGTTCGCAAATAGTCTTCAGTCACTGATTGCTTTTTCGC